ATAAATAATAATTTCAAGAATAAATTCATAAGATAATACTAAAATAATATCAAAAGAAGCTAAAATAATAATAAGAAGAAAATAATAATAATAATTAAATAATATAATGGAATTAATTATTTCATTACAATACCCTTTATGTCTTTATAAATTAATCTGCAAATTAACATTGTTTAATGCCTATATTACTATAAGATTAGCTACACCAACCACTATTACCCAACTTATGCATTCATTTAAATATCACAAAGATGTGCCTACATATTAGGTGAAACTTCTGCAGGGAAGAGAATCTTACCACTAGTTTAAACCTGCCTAAACCTGCTGATTCATTATTGCAGAGAGCAAGTTATTATGGAATATTATTATAGAAACTAACTTTAGTATTCCTGTCATTGTTATTACCAACTCTTGAGATGTGCCACTAGCATATCGTCACACTACTATTTTCACTACTTGTGGAACTGACGTCCTTGCTTGGATTTCGATTTAATCTTGACGATCCTCACCAGACTTATTTGGTCTTAACGATTTTTGTCTGGATTGTCACTAAGGATCCTAATGATTCTCTTCGATTCTATATTCGATTCTCAAATTTATATTAAATTTAATAGGTGGGATATACCCCACCATCATTTTTAATAGTGTTCCGAACCTCATGTGATTCTGTTTAATTCTATTCGATTTCAATTTTCGGAACCATAATTGTTACCTTTTGTGGCCGATAACCTTTTGCTCTTTTGGTCCATTTAAGTTCATATGAACACTACTCTAGAGATAGATTCTCAAACTTCAGATTAGGATAGATCAGTTTAGAATTAACCTTTTTGGATTGTATGACGAAGTCTGCCGTCACCAGTTTGGATTGAGATTTTTGTAGACTTTTATTAGAATTAGACCAGAAGCCTTTCCTCATGCAACCTTCCATGCTTCGACCTGTTTTCAGCCCGCGATCGTCAAGAAGACCAGAGGTCCTATCTTTATGCAGCCTAATTAAATTTGGATATGATAAGGATTATTGGGTACAACATATACAGGATATTCAGTAAACCTACATATGAAGGTAAATGTGCTTTTTTACTCCCTGTGGGTACTGAACTAGGGACATGCGTTTGATGACTTGGGAGCATTACTCACTATACTATTGATTCACAAGTTATCCTTCAAAAGTTTACATCCAAAGATCTTCAAAAACCTTTATATAAAAAATTTCCTAATATTATTGGTACTTCAAATTAATATTATAAATAATTTTAATATAAAATTTGCTTTTAAGTTAAAGAATAACTTTTCAAGAAAAAATATATTTATTTAATAAGATTTATATATTAATAAAAAGTGAAAATAAAAAGAATTTTAAGAAAAATTTTCAATGAAATAATTGTTATAAGCTTTTATTCATATAATTTAAAGAAAAAACAAAATCTTCAAACTTGTTTTTTCTTGATTAGAAATTCTATTATAATATACTAGTATATTTTTTTGATTTTTTTAAAATTCTTGTAATAAAAATAAAAGAAATATAAAAAACTTTTGAATATTGAAAGGCAAAAAAAATTATATACAGAAAAGTTTTTTAATTTTTTAAAATTATTAATATCAATTATTTTATTTATTTTATTAATAAAAAAAAAAAAAAATTTTTTTTAATAAAGTAAAAATAAGTATAAAAAAAGTTTTTTTCATTTAATTATAAAACAATATAAAACTATTAATACCTATGAACTTACATAACATCAAACATATTTTGAAATTATATTATATATTATATGTCTTGTATCATATAATTTAAGAATTATAGAAAATAAAAAATTTAAAAAATTTCAAGTTTCAAATATTCTAAAAAATATAATTGATACAATTATTTGACACAATTAATTGAATTTTTATTAAAACATATAAGGTGATTGAATCAAGACACAATTATTATTGAGAATTTTAAATAAAATATAAAATTAATTTTTTAAAATATTGGGTTTATAATTTTTGTTATATCAAATAAATGAATAAATAAATACTAAATAGAAATTAATTTATATTTAGTATCAATAACTTGCATGAATACTAATTATGAATTGTATCAACAATCGTGATCTAAATTATAAAAATATACAAAAAAAAATTCCAAAGTAAAATAAAACGTATTTTGTAAATACGATATTGAGTTCATGTAAGAATATTCATAACATTAATAACAAAATTAAATGTTTTTCGCAAGCTTTTAGCCCAAAAAATTTATTAATTCAAAAATTGATAAAAAAACTCAGGTAACAACTTTCAACAATGAAAACTGAAATAATGAAGATAATTTTACAGTGGTGCTCAGGTAGAAACTTATTCACTAAAATGTTAAAATTATTGTATTGTAATATCACGGGGTGAAATAGTGATGGACTTTGTCTGGGTATCATAAAATTATGAATTTAGTTAATAAAAATATCAATCGTTATTGTATCTACTGAATTACATACCATATTATTTGTCTTGTAAATTCCCACTAAGCGGTCAGCCAACTCGAACATGTTATTCCGTAAGCTAATGACAATGAATTGTGCATTTCTGGTACGTTCTTTGATATAATTTGCCACGATTGAAACATTGCGAAAATCCAAGGCAGCATCAATCTCATCCATCACGTATAGTGGAGTTGGTTTAAAATGATGAAGAGCAAACACCAAAGCTAAAGAGCTTAACGTCTAACGAAACGAATAACTTTATCAAATAAATGTTCATGTTACCAATGACTTAGAACAGCAAAATAGGATACCTTTTCTCCGCCGGATAAATTAGAGATATTTTTCCAGCTTTTTTTCGGAGGCATAACGCTGAATATAATACCTTCAGAAAAGGGATCTAGACTATCACAACATTCAAGCTCAGCATTACCCCCAAGCGTAATCATCTAGAAAGAAAGGTAAATAAAAAAATTTCTATAAGATCTGTGCTTGATATAATGAGAATCGTGAATCGTGAATTTAAGAACACTATTAAAGGTTCAATATCAAGATCAATAAAAATATTAAAAGCTCTAACCTGATACATCTCCTTCAATTTTTGGGATATTAATGTAAACCCATGCATAAACTCTTCTAATCTCAATTTACGAAGATCGTCATACTCTTTTTTGCATTCGTCACGCATACGGGTGACTTCTTCAAGGTCTCTTGCCCTGGAAAGATATTCTTCTTCACAACGCTTGTATTCCGCCAAAACGTTTAGATTAGGGCTGGCACTCTGAATCTTTTCTGCATATTAATAATTTAACGTTAACATTTAGGAGTCGGCGATTCTAATGAATCAAAAGCGAGTATTATTATAAAGACTAACATAAATTTTAAAAAAGTTGATACCATTAAGAACTTCGATTTCATTTTTCAAGTTTTCTTCATCGATTGATTTAAGTTCGTCCTCCGTATAAGTTGGAAATTCAGGTTGTCTCTCATCTTCACTGTGATAATAGTAAAAAAATCAAAGTCGATAAATTTCGTGTAATAAAGAATCGCAATACGGCATATACATTACCTTATTTCGTGAAGGGTGAGCTTTTTGAGAGAGTTTACTAGGTGTTTTTCCTTATGCCTATTTTCCAACAAGCTGCGCTCGTTATTTTCAAGTTTATTTTTAATTTCTAACTGATAACAACCAAAATATATTAATCATAAAAATCATTCTAATTAATGACCATGGGTTTTGTTAATGAAAGTTCAACCTGGATGGCCCGGGTGTTATTAATTATAGTTGCTTTACTGTCGCGTTCTGCTTTCATTTCATCTAGCGCTTCTTTCTTTTCTTCCAGATCCTAACAGGATGCGGTTGATTTTTAGAAAGTCTTACCAACGGCTCGCCTAAAGCAATTAGAACAATTATACAGATAACATGCCTCTTTTATTCTTTCAACTCGGATCTCGATAGACCTTGATAATTCTGTATTCTGTCGAATACTGCCTTCTAAGTCTTGCATTTCTTGGTTAAGCTGTTCTATTTCACCTTCATTTTTAGCAATTGAATTTTCAAATTTGGTTACATCTTTTTCGGCCTTCGATTTTGCAACTTGGGCTTTCGTGATATGATCATTAGTCATATCTATTTGTTCTTTTATCGAGTCTACTTTCATCTTTTGGGCACGAAGCTTATCACCACCGACTTGCAAAATCTTTTCATGCAGCATTCCTATTTCGCCCTCTATCTTTGAAGATTGACTCTTGAGATTAGTCAATTCCAGATTCAATTTATCGATTTCCCCTTTAAGTTGTTGCATTCGTTTTCGATCTTCAACATTTGGTTTATTCTGTTGTCTGAATGGAAGAATCATAATTTAATTAGATTACAATATTTACTCAACCTATGTTCTAATACTGTAGCGACTTACCGCAATTCCGAGATGAGTTTCTGGGCATCGGTAATGCGTTTAACGCATGAGCTTGAATCCATTTCTAATTTTGATAAATTAACCTCCATCAGGGGTAGTTCTTGTTTGAGTTGTTGAAGCCGACTTTCATACGCTTTGCGTTTTTCATTAAATTCTTTCCAGTTGTTTTCCAAATCAAATCGTTCCCTCTCCAACTTAGAAATCATTTCGGGAGTCACATCCGAAACAAATTTTGAACTCATGCCTCCACGAATAACTCTATTACCACCTCCACTCATGGTACCAACTAGATCAAAGAGTTGACCTTCTAAGGTAACTACGCGCCATCTTTGCTTGCCGTAAGCAATCCTAGTTGCCTGTTGCAGATCTTTTGCTACAAGAGTATTTTGTAAAACCTTGTAAAAAGCTGGTGCGAATTTTTCCTCCTTAGGTTTAACAAGATCAAACAGTCGAGGAATGCCCTCAGGTGTTGAGATTGGACTCATATCTTTTGAAGAAAGTTGATTTAAGAGAATGAAATGCGCACGCCCTAAATTATTTCTCTTAAGATATTCAATACAATTTTGCCCAGCCTCAACTGAATCCACCACTATGTGATCGAGTGCCGGACATGCAGTAGAAATCGCGACATCATATTTATCATCTATAACTCCGAGGTTTCCCAATCGATCCTGTATGAAGCAAAAAGAGTTAGAGAGCCATCAAAATCCAGATTAATAATAATTGTGAGCTTACATAAAGGCCCTTGATGCGACCGCTGTCTTTGAGTTTCAATAAGCTGGAAAGCACTTGCCCCCTGGACTGAGATGATTGCAAAAGTGTTTTCGCCTCGTTCTCTTTTTGTCGTGCATCTGAAAGACGAGCTCTAATTTCCTCTTGAATATTGTCAGAATCCTAAGTGAAAAAGGTTATTATTGTATGTTTATAATATATATATTTAGTATAAGCGAAAATAGTCATAAAGTATGAGCGTAGCTTTACTTTCAGCATAGCTTCAATTTTTTCAATTTCTTTTTTTTCAAGACTAATTTGATTCCTAGAAGCCTTTATCTCATGTTCCTAATATATTATAATGGTTATTGTCTGTTAATAGATCATTTCATGCTAAATATTTTCAGCAAGATAAATATAAACCTTTGAGCGACGTGTTTCTTCAAGGGAAACAATATCTTTCTCGGCTTGTTCTAAATTTTGCTTTATAGAATCAATTTTATCATTGAGTATATTATATTCGGATTGGGTAACATCAATGGCGGATTGTTTCGAATTAATTTTCTCTATCCATGGTGCTAACTCTCTTTGTTTCTCCTCAATTTTTGCGGTAAAAATCTCCGTCTTACCTAAATGTTGAAGGGAATTTTTTTTTTTAATTGACTGGTAAATTTTCAGTCATGTGATTCATTAATGTGTGTTAATCGATTACCCTTAAGACTTTCGCGAATTACTTCCAACTCCCTCTCTTCGGCCTCCAACGACTCCTCTAAACGTTTAATCTCCTGTTTTCTTTTAACCAAATCATCTTCATTGTATCGAATGGATGTTTTTGCCTCGGAAAGAGCATGACGCTCCTATTTATTAATAAAAGCCTTTAGTTTAATCCTTAGGTTTTGCACAGACATATTTACTAATCTTACATTCTGCATGGTTTTTAGCAACCTCTTTTGTTTTGTTTGTGCATGCTTCTTTTTTTCTTCAAGATGAATAGTTTCACGACAAAATTTTGCTTTTTCTTTGAGAACCAGGTCGGCTTCTCTTTCTAGAGACTAATAAATGTAAATGAGCATATTCATAAAGTCTAAAAATTCATTGTAATAACTACATACACCATATTCCTTTAAAGAATTTGCATATGAATTTTCGAGAATCTCATATTCTTGATGGGTCTGAGCATGTTTTTCCTGTTCTATTTTAAGTTCGTTGCTCAATTGGTCCTACAAAAAATATTATCGAGCTCATTAATCTTAATATAATTCGTGCGCGTGCAGAAAGAAATTTCTACATACCACCATCTTGGTATTAATGTCAATAACGTTCTTGAGGTTTAGAAGTTGCTTCTGATATAACGTGGATTTTTTAATCGACAATTCATTTTCCTCTCGAAGAAAATCTTCGGCTTCTTTCTTCTTAGCCTATTCGATGCGTAATCGTGAAAGGAATGTCATTAAGTAATCATTTTTACATTTCCACAACATTACCTCTAGACTCTGCTTTTCCTTTTCTACAATTTTTGTTCGGTGTAATTTTTCTGAACGTTCTTCGTTGTACTGTTCAACTTTTTGACTAGACTTTTCAATAGGTTCTTTGTACTTGGATGTCCCTATTATATCCTCAAGATATTCTAAAAGTCCATCCTCATGTTCATTAGGTGCCTTTGGTTTCATCTGTGATATAGATTCAACTTCACCCTGAAAACAAAAAACCACTTACACCATTAAAATATTTGAGGACGTTCGCCAAATCATTTATTCCGATTTCATGTTACCTGCAATATCAAAAAACGTTTGTGATCTAAGTCTATTCCTCTTTCTTTCAACAAAGACGTCACTTCAGTATAATTGCTTGGACGCCCGTTGATAAAATATTTACTCGAATTGTTTCGAAATGCTTGACGCGAGATGACCAGTTCTGAATTAGGGACAATCTCGAAATTATCTTGGCCGGGCTAATTGCAATTGAAGCATCTGATTAAATATGAAGTCAGAGGTAATTTTATTTCGCATAATCGGTTCTTACCAAATCATATATTTCTTTGAAATGCACCTCAACAGTGCAGTAATCCAAGTTCTCGTGCCCTTGTGACGAGTGAATGAGCTCTGATAGTTTGCCTTGTCGCATTTTATTTGCTCTATATCCAAATACAAATAAAAGGGCATCGATGACATTGGATTTTCCCGAGCCATTGGGTCCAACGATGGAGGAGAAAGACTAATAAAGATAGAATAATTCATTACGAATGATCAAACTGTCCTAATAAAAGCGTGTTTTATACGACGTGCCTTGTGAAATGGTCCAATTACTTGACGATCAAAATACGACTTGAAATTAACCAGAACCATTTTGTCGATAACCATGCGCGGCTTACTTTCCTCCCCGGGTAGTACCGAAGGAACATATTGCGAATTATTTGTTGGCGTCTTTGGTTGCGCCTTACTTTGTGACCTGACCAAATTTCCTCTTATAATTAAAGAATCGTTGCTTACTCTACCGGAGTGGTGAGCTAAACTACGATCGGATAAAACACTAGCCGGTGATGCCATTTTTTGAAATTGGCTGTACAAAGCACGAAGAAATGATCAGCAACAACTTTTCAATATTTTAATATAATGCGCACGCGTTTGTGTAACTACGCGTAAATAAATTATTGCACGTGGCAACTCGTTTATTATTGATGTTTAATTTATTGTTGTTTGTTGATTGACGGTCCTTGAACAAAACTTCTGCTATTTACATTAATTTCTTGTCGTCATACAGTTCCCTATCACCTCATTTATCATTTACTATACACAGTTCCTTTCTTATTTTTCAAAAACTGAGGTGAAGGCCACAAACATAAATGACTACTAGGCCAACCCTGCCTTTTCCATTTTCTTAAGAAAGGAAAAATCGGAATGAATTAGTTTTCATCATCGAATTTGTAATTAATGCAGATGATCTATGAAATGATATTATACCTCTTTTAGAATAACGCCCATCTTTGCAGGACTCCTTGATACTGTTACACCTGCATCCTCCAAAGCTTTGATTTTATCAGTGGCGCTTCCCTTTCCTCCAGAAATGATAGCACCAGCATGACCCATTCGACGACCGGGTGGTGCGGACAAACCAGCAATAAATGAGACCACTGGTTTCGGTTGATCACGCGTAAGGTTGTATTGTTTAAGAAATTCGGCAGCTTCTTCTTCAGCCGACCCTCCAATTTCTCCAATCAACAGGATGCCTATTGAAAGCAAGTTTAATAACAAAAGTATCGAATAAATCATATAAATATCCAAATGTTCGTGGTTTACCTTTCGTATCCTCATCTTCTAAAAATAATTTCAAACAGTCCACAAAATTGGTGCCATTAAATGGATCACCGCCAATTCCAACACATAATGTTTGCCCAAGGTTCACTTCAGTTGTCTGATTGACAGCCTCATATGTCAAAGTGCCAGACCGTGAGACGATGCCTACCTTACCAACTTTATGAATATGTCCAGGCATAATACCGATTTTGCATGCACCAGGCGCAATGATACCCGGACAATTTGGGCCAATGAGACGAGTCTTGTTTTGAGATTTTAGGACTTTTACAACCTAGCGTCAACAGATACCCAACATTAACAATCTATAACTCGATTAGACAGCCTTCATAAACTTTTATTGATACCTTGACCATGTCTTTCTGGGGAATGCCTTCGGTGATGGTAACCACTAAAGGCACTTCGGCTTCTATACTCTCTATAATAGCAGCAGCAGCAAACGGTGGAGGCACATAAATTACAGATGCGTCCGGTTTCACCTCACGGACGGCCTATCAAATTGATAAATTTAGAATGTCACGAAATGTATTTTCGTTAAAAAAAATTTTTTTTTATGACTTGCCTCAGCCACATTGTTGAATATAGGCAATCCCAGGTGAGTCTTGCCACCCTTTCCGGGAGAAACACCACCAACCATGTTTGTACCATATTCAATCGCTTGTTTTGAATGGAAAGTACCCTTATAAATAAAATGAAGAAAAAACATACTTTGTGAGTATTATGTAAAGTAGAAATAATGAATTGCTTATTTGCCTATTAAGATAAAATTTGTAAAATCAAACAACCTAAAAAAATTGGTAAATTATAACATCAAATAGAAAAACATGAATTTTTAACAATTCTACAATAAGTAACATCGATACATCAATCCCTATAACTGAAAATGTAAAGCCTTTACATAAAATTCGCGAGGAACTTATATCCTACTTGTTTCCCGGTAAAACCCTGACAAATCACTCGAGTTTCCTTAATAAGTCGCATGTTCTTAACAGTGTCTTCATAGTGAAGGGAACGAACGGGGCTGAATCTTCGACAGACTAAAAAAAGAATTACTATGAGTCCGAATTTTAATTCACCAAACAATAGATATGGTTGTACACTCACAAGACTGCAGCTTGAAATGTAAAGAACGAAACGAAGAGGGTTTTGGACTAAACATCCTCGCAAGATTCAAGATATTCTGATCTATCGAAGGATCTTATCAGGCGACCTCGTGATTTTACCGGCTATTTGATTGGATATCTGATGTGATATTTAATGAGATATTGAATTTCGACGAAACATAGTAAAAATGGCAACACCAACATCAACGGCAAAGCAAGTAACATACTGTGGAGGTAAAAGAAATACATGCATGCCAATTTCTTTCACGCTGTCCTTTCCACCTTTTGACTCACACCGATATTGCTACTTTCTTTTTAGTTTGTTCGCTGCCTCCGGAGGTATGCATTACGTTTCCTTAAAGATCAGAAAAAAAAATAGAATTATAATTGTTATCATTTGAGGCAGTACTGCGAATTTGGGCCAACTCTTGATAAGTGCAAGAAATGGTTGCAAGAAAAGCATTCCGAGTTGTTTCATAAGCTTTACTCTCAAAGTAAATATTTATTTTATTTTGTTCTAAATCTCAATTTTTATCTTACGAGCATAATTATTTTTTTATTAGTAAAGTAAATAATATAATAATTTATACTGTTGATCAGTTGAACTCGTAGAAAAGTTAGCTAACACATCATTGGAAGAGAAACCAAATGAGGTAGAAGACAAAAAGAAAGCAAAAGGTACGTCGAGTGAGCTTTTTCTCGACGATGAAAATCCATTCAACGTTTTAACTCGTACATTCTTGTTTTAAGAGGCTGCAAAGATAGAACGTGAATTGCAAAAAAAGATGGTATTTCCGTGATTTTTTGAAGTATGACAATCCTTCTTTTTATATAACGTCATTTTATTTTCCTAGACTTCCAAGGTCATCATCACACGGATCGCACGAAATAAACGAAAATGTGTCACGAGTGTTTACGGTTTACAAAATTTCGGTAATTACCCTTCCAAAATACGAAACTAATCCCATACTATCTAACATCTAAAGAACAATTTGATTATCGTCAGACATTGATTTGAAAAAAGCTGCAAAATCCTTTGCAACAAAATTTGCCTGTGGTTCCTCTGTTGTCAAAAATAATCAAGGAAATGATGAGATCGTTGTACAAGGAGATGTTTCTGATGATCTGTTCGACTTTATATTAGAAACATGGAAAGATGTAAGCAATCGTTTATTCTCATAAAATTTTTATCATTAGCGTGCGTTTAATATAAATATATTAAATAGGTTCCAGAAGATAATATTGAACTTACAGAAGACAAAAAATCAAAAAAATGATTATTTTCAACAAGTGTATCCGTCAAAGATGGACGTTGTCCACAATTCTTTTCTTCAATTGTTAATTCTAGGATTCGAGATACGGGTTAGCTGAGCATATCAATAGAGACAAATGTGTTTTAGAAAACTTTCAAAGATTATTTGATTAGCGAGCGATGAAATTAATGACGTACCTTTCAAGTGATGTTTTTCTTATAGGCAACTCTTAAACTTTTTAAAAAAATAATATATCATGATTTATTTTAAATATCATACTGTTATATGATATACTGCATATTTATAACCATAATTTGGAATTTGAATTTATTGTTACTTAATTAGAAAAAATTAAAAAATTTTCAACATTATTTGCAAAGTAATATTAATTTATTCATAACGTTAATTATAAGTTTCTAATTATATATTATGTATAAAAAATATATTATAGTACTGAATAGTTAATACTGTCCAAAGCTAATATGCTAAAAACCATCTGGTTATATAAAAGTGTTACTATTACTTTTCATAGTTTTGCTTTTTATACTTATAATCCAAATTATACTTGCCAATATGAGCAATTAATTATCTTTGAAGGCGACGAAATGTTAGATAAGATTTTTTCGGCTCCTATTGTTTAATAATACGTATACAATGCAAAATTTTAAAATACAATTATAAGGTTCAAAAAATTCCTGTTTGCCTTCAAAGATAATTACCCATATATATATAATATTGTATGAAAACAAAAAATATTTGTATAAGACTTGTTTTAATTAAAGTTAATATAAACTAAATTAAAACTTATTGATAAAAAATAATGAATATTAAATTTCTTTATAAATGCATATGCTGTTTAAAATGAAAATCTCTAAATTATCAATAATTATATTAAGTAATTAACTTTAATAACCTTAAATAACTATGTACTTAAGTTATTTATTCTTAGTTTAATAAATAATTTTACTAATTTTACTAATTCAATTTTGAAATATTTTATTTCACCATATAAAGTTCAAAGAAATTTTCTAATTAACTTGAATTATAATATTAAAAAAAAGATAAAATAATAATATAATTTTATAAAATTTTATTTTTTTTTAAAAAAAAAATCAAAAAACTAAACTTTTTTAATAAATTGTTTTTATAAAAAACAAATATATTATTAAATATTAATATAAAATTCTAAAATAATTAAAAATATAATTAAAAATATTTATAAATATAAATAAATAAATATTCTTTATCACTTAAGACTTATTGATAAATATGTTGTATTATTAAAGAAATTTATATTGTATTATTATATTTTTGCATATTAAAGATTAATAAATAATTATTGGTATATAGTTTAACTAAAAGTAATAATAAATAATAATAAATAAAAAATAAAATAAATAAATAAATAATTTTTATTGTAAAGAAATTTTTTTAAATATACTTTTTTAAAATATATTTATTATATATATAGAAAAATTAAATTTAGATATTTTTCTATAATTGTATTATGTTAAAATTTCTAAGTAATATATAATAAATTTGTAATTAAAATCATATTTAATTTGAAATTATATATAATTTTTTTTATAATAATAAAAAAACATATATAATATAGACTTGTGAATCTATAGTATAGTAGTTAGTACTTCACATGTCAGATTACAAGATACCAGTTCAACTTTATATAAAGACAGTTAAATAGAATTAATATGATATCTGATGCCATAACTTGAAATACATTGTTTCTTATCGAAAGTCAATTCATATATTAATTTAAAAGACATTGAGATTATGATCTTTATAAAAAATGTAATAATGCAATGATCATCTGATTAATGCTATAATAATTGCCGACAAGCAAGAATATAAAATATTTGAATGTACAGACTGGACTGTACTTTATTTTAACCAATTCCAATTGACAACTTTTTCTTTCATAATCAGTTTTAATCTAATTAGATGAAGAATATTCAAAGGTATCTCAAGCCAATTCTATCAACACATCTTGTTCAAACACAAGCTGAACCAATAGATTAGATAATTTAAAACTAGTGATAAGATTTCTATTCTCTAAATAAGCTCTTTTCAAAAACATAAGTCCACTTTTAAAATACTTACTATATCATCAGATTCAAATATATATGAAGGTAACAGATTAACTTAAATAGACTATAGTAGTCATATAATTAAATATAAATAACTCAATAAAAAATCATGTATTATATGCACTTTTCATCTCAAAAAAAAAAAAAAAACATATAATATTTATTATGTTTTTTTTAAAAAATTATATTAAATTTGATTTTAAATATATAAAATTTTTAATAAAATTATTTCAATAAATATATATTTAAAAATAATTTATTATATTTTTAATTAAATAAAAATTTTGAAATAAAATAATATATTTATAATAAAATATTATTTAATATAAAAATTTCAAAAAAATAATAAATAAAATTTTTTTATTAATTTTTTTATTAATTAAAAAAACAAATATTTTAAAAAAATTTTATATTTTTTTAAAAATATTTATATTTAAAAACTTTATTTTTTTTTATTTGTTTTATTTATTCTTTAAAATAAACTTTTTATATTTTTATAAATAAATATAAAAAAATTTATTTATAAAATCAAAGCAAAAATATTTTGTTAAGAAAAAAAACTTGTAAAAATATATATATACTATATATTTTAAAAAATTAAAACTTTAAAAAAAATTATTATAGATTTTTAAAACTTATTATTATTTTTTTTAAGATTTTTTTTAATTTTTTTAAATATATAAACTTTTTTCTAATTTTTAAAAAAAAATTTATTTAATTTAATTTGATTAAAATAATATAATAGTTTTTTTATATATTAATTTTATTTTTTTTAAAAGTAAAAAAAAAAAAATTTTTCACTTCCTTTTCTATACTTGAAAATTTCTTTTTTAAGAAATTTTTGAGTTATTTACTTTTTCTTCACTTTCTTTTTCCTCTTTCTTTATGTTTTTTTTTTTATATCTCTTTATTTTCCTCATCCTATCTTCTTCCTTTTCTTCTATATATTTTTTTTATATTTTATACTTTCCTTTTATTTTTTCTTCTTTTTTTTCTGTCAAAACTAAGTTTTCCTTTTTTTTGAAGGTTTTTTTTTCTAAGTCTCTCTTTCTTTTGAAAACTTCATTTTCATAATATTACTTCTTTGACCAGTCAACTCCCTTTAAAAATAGGTCCTTAAATTAAAAGCGAGAATATAATTCAAATGTCCTTCACTATTAAAAAAGTTTTTTTTTAAATATAAGATAAAAAAAAAACTATTTACAAAGGTTTTTTGTAATTTAGGCCACTTGATTCAAGTGTTTTTTGAATTATGTCCCTATTAAAATAATAAATAAATAATTATGTCTCTTTTGAAGGGACATAATTGATTTGTGAAATTTTATATATTAAATAATTTAGAGACTCATCCTTAACTCCCTTCTCTTAAGAACTATATTATAACAGTAACTTTTCTTAGAATATAGACTTTAGGAAATTTTTTCTCTTTTATGATTCTTCAGAAAAAAAACAGATAATTTACTTTTCCAAAATATTGACATGGTTATTATTATCAAACTCTATATTGTTTACTGATTAATAGTTAGATTAGATATACTTAAAAAATCTGGATAATTGAAAAAAAAAAACTCTTTCCCGCAAATCTCAAAATTCCTAAAAATTTCCTTTTTTAGTAATATACCTAAAACACTCAAAGAAACACTTAAAGAAGACACCAAGAGAAAAACTTCATAAAATCTTTCTGAAAATAAAGGAGGACAGACATAACAGGTATATTTTGGATTCAAAAGTATACTAACTCTTCTTTATTAT